TCCTGAACAGCAGAGCCCTGCCCTAGTTTTCAGCTTCGTACCTGTCACAGGCCCTTGTCTTTAGTGACTCAGCTCCTGAGCATTCATTCAAAGAGGTGAAGCCCCCTCCCCAACTGCACAGATTCTTCTGCTGTGACAGGAGGTTCTGCCGCCTTCTCCAGGGTACAGGTTTATGAGAGACCTCTGTGATGACCAAAGCATTGAGGAAACAGTCCTGAGTCTAGGAGGATCCCGTTGGGACCTAGCAGAGCCTTGGCCCCCAGCCCAGCAGTCTTCGTCTTCACGTCCACCACCTCCCTCTCCTGCCCAGTCATCTTTCCTCCCCTGCAGACTCTCCCACCAGTTCTGTCCCAATCAACCGTTCACAGAGGCCATACTCAGAGAAGGCCAGGCTTTTTGACTAGGTCTTGGCTAATAGGGTATTTGACAGCAAACTTTAAGGAATGTTTCAGTAGTGAGGAAGCAGACCCCTAAACCCATCACTATGGCACTGTGGGTCAGTGCTGGAGTAGGACGGGGATGAGGCGGCTGAAGGAGGATTTACTGGGCTCTTAACATTCCGGAAACAGCCACTCACAGCCTTGGAACAGCTCCTGGGTGTTATCACAAACTTTTATCCTTTTACATAAGCCAAGTCCAGCCACATCATTTCCTACTTTTTATCTGTCCATTGGTACCAAACTCAGTGCCCAGCACTTGGTAGGAAGTCACCACACTGGCCTTCAGCACTTGCCTAGGCCCTGGAGGCACCCAGGTTGTAGAATGGATGAATTGATGGGAGGTCTGGGAAGATGCTTTTTTAGGCAAAGGCAGCAGGAAGGACAGCAAGAAGTCAGCCTTCTCCTCTTTCCAGGAGGCTAATGGCCAGCCCTCCCTGTGTCACTCGCCCTTTAGTTAGAAACAGAAAACTCGAAAAAGTCTCCCCAGCTTCATCCAGCTGCAGTCTGAGCCTTCCCAGTGGGGCAGACCAGGCTGGGCCTCCTCGGAAGCAGCTGGAAGGCTCACAGAACAACTCTAACTCCACTCGCCTCCCACAGCAGCACCCACTCCATTCATCAGACACCTGCTGTCAGCCATTTCCAGCAAGGAATCCAGCACCAGGTGGCAGCTTGAGCCAGAGGAAAGCTCCCACAGGGGACTGTCTCCATGCCCCCTCTGCAGACCATGTGGCTCTTCTCCTCAAGGTGGGCCCTCTTTTCTTCTCTCTACCTTCAGATGGGGCCATCTCTTGTCTAGCCTGCAAGCTCCGATTTGAATAGAAATAGGAGGCCATCTGGCCCAAAGCACCTCTCCTGGTCTAGCATGGTGGTTAAGCTCGGAGACCCTGCACCCAGCCTCACATCCCTGCTCTACCGCTTACTGGCTGGGTGGCCTTGGGCCAAGTTACATAACCTCTCTGAGCTTCATTTCCTCATCTCTAAAATGAATCCTAATTGTACTTTTTCATACAGTCCTCATGAGAATTGAAGGAGTCCATTGCCTGGAAAGTGCTCTACAAAGGGCTTAGCACATCATTAGTGCTCAGGAAAGGGACTTCCTCCATCATCACCATGGCTCAACATTAACAAGGCTCGCAGAGCCGCTACTGACCAATCCATGACATTCAGCCCCCACATGACTCTCACAGAGCCTGTTGCTGGGTGACGGCAACTCCGACCCTGCGCCAGAGCTGTCGGAGCCCTGTGGGGCCACAAAAGAACTCTGTCCTCCAGGAAGAGGCAATCTCACAGGCAAGATAAGACTAATTCACAAAGCAATTAGTAAAAAATACAAGATAGCTTAAAAGTACTAAATTGTTTGGTGCAGACTATAATTGTGTTAATAATAAGAACCTTTTGTACAGCATTTTAGCACTTACCCAGCACTTAGAAATACATTATCTCATGTAATCCTCAAAACAAACCAGCAAGGTAAGTGTTGAAATTAGCGGATGAGGAAACCGAGGTGCCCGGAGATGAAATGGCTTATCTGTGATCACACCACCGGTAAGTGGGTGACTCAGAAAGGACGACTTCAACCTGATTCTAACTTCATTTGGTACCAAGCTCCTTACTTTTTCCATTAAGTGGGATGTATGTGTGTGTCTGTATGTGCGTGTGCCCACATATATCTCAAACTTTGTCTCACTCCTGCTTTTCTCCTACACTCAGCCCTAAGACTCCCTGTGGCCAGAATATCCTGTAGTTTAGGTTTCATGTCTATTTGTGCTGTGTCCAATGGCTTTATTCTGGGCTCCCTTTCACAGGTGTGGTGGCCTCTCAGAGCTGATAGGTCTGAACCATCCAGAGGGCAGGGGATTTTGTAAACCCTGTGATTCCAACTTTGTCCTCTGATGCCCTCAGAAATGTGGCACCAAAGGATAAGGAACCTCTGGCTCTGCCTGGCCACAGCTGGTCCTGGGTGCAGGGCCCATGCTGGTTACAGAGGACCCAGAAAGCAGGGCTACAGCAGCCCCTGGTGGGCCTCCTCCAGAAGCACAGCTACACTCCCAAGTCCACCGATAAAAAGGAGAGGGAAGGACTCAGAGCAGGGCTGTGGCCTGGAGAAGAATGGAAAGTGGCAGACCACATCAGAACATGACCAGCTACATACAGGGCGGTGTGATGAAAATACACATTGGATTTGAAGCCACGTGCCTCCGTTCGTGCCAGCCTCTCTGCTCCCTAGTGGTGCCACCTGGCAATTACCTCATCTCTCAGGTCCTCAGTTTCCTCATCTCTAAAATGCAGACAGAAGTAACACCAACGTCACAGCTTGCTGTCAGGATTAAATTAGTTAATTTTGTAAAGTATTACCTGGCACAGAGTAGGGGTTGTCACCACCACATTATGCCTCTGTGGGCCTTGGGTACTTTTGCTTTCATGAGCCTCTTCCTCCACACACAAAAAATATTTAAAATTCTGTTGTACTACCGTTTTGTTATAAAGATGACTATAACCCAAACTGGATTATATTTATTTTTTTCTTTTCTTTTAAAAGAAATTAAAACCTTTTTATAGGCTTCTAAACATATCATGATCCCAAAGCATCGGGCTTATTGTGCCTAATTGAAAACCGGGCCCCGGGGTCTCCATCATGTCTGCTGTTGTGAATGTTTAAGTGTCTCAGGAACCATCAAGTGCTGTGGCCTGTAAGGGTCATAATCATTAGGGATGTTCCTTCCATCCTCCTGTGTGTCCAGCATTCGACCTTCTTTCTTGTACTGAATGCCATGCTTCAATGTCAAGCTCTCCAGTAAGAGGGTGCCCACTGGCCTCCCGGGGCTCCCATGTTCTGATGCGGGGATGGCAGGCAGACATCCTGCCTTGGCAACCAACTCCTTTAGACTCCAGGGCATGGGAAGGGGGCTCTGGAGGCCAGATACCCACTGGGTCCTTTCATAGCCGCCTTCAGAATGGTAGCAACAGCATCCTCTAGTGGTGGCAAATCTCCCTCCACACCGTGCTTGTGTCATCTGCCTCCCAGAGGGTCCCCTAGTGACCAGGGCATGAAAGAGGCTTGTGCCGACATTCACGTATTTGTATTTGTCTAACCCTACCCCCTCAGTCCACATAGGATTTGAATCCAGTAATATAACTAAATTCGCAGCAATGTGCACTGTGTTCACGTGTACACAAAGCCAAGGTTAAGCTCTAGATCACTGCTGTCTGTAGAAATACAATGTGAGTCACATAAATGACTTTAAATGTCCTCGTAAAAGGAAATTAATGAAATCGATTTTGATAATAAATTTTATTTATCACAAAACATCAATACTATCCTTTCAACATGTAATCAACATAAAATTATTAGCGAGATATTTTCGTTTCTTTTCATTCAAAGTCTTTGAAATCCAGGATGATTTTACAATCGTGACACATCTCAATGTCTAATTCAGTGTTCTAACTAAACTTTCACTGGAAATACTTATCAGTATTTTATATACTTCATAAAATTTACAACTGAAAAAGCAAATTCGCTATCAGCATTTTTCCGAACATACTTAAGTTTTCCGATAACTGAATCAAGTAGTTTTAAATTTTAATTGTAAATTAAATAACATAAAATTTAAAATTCAGTTCCTTAGTTGTACTGTTCACATGTCAAGTGCTCAACAGTCACATATGGCTAGTGGCTACGGAATTGGACAGTGCAGGGCTAGATCACGAGAACAGAAGGAGGAATAAAGCACACCTCATTTGGAAGAAACTTATTCGTAAACTTAAAGTTCCCAGCCAGGGTGCCCCAAATTAAAATGCGCAAAAGACTTGAAGAATTTGTAATAACTGCAGATGCCCACCCCATGCCGAGATCTGCTTCTGGAGGTCCCGGGGTATGGGAGGGCCTAGAGTGTGCATTCTGAAGAGACCAAAGGGCCACACTTTGAGAACCATCCCTCAGTGTCGGGCAGATATGCAATCACAGAGGAGCCTCACCCCTGGTTCCTGGCTGGTTACAGAATGCACCAGGCACTACGCTCAACCAGGACTGCCAAAGACGGCCCTATAAGGCAATCCACTGGAGTATTAAATGTAGGTTTTATTATTATTCCTTCAGTCCCATTTCAGTATGTGGTTTGTGTAGTATATACATAATTTAGTATAAATATGTTGGGAGAACATATCAAAAATTTTTTAATCAATGGGGGCAAATCTAAAAAGTTTCAGCTCATTGTGCTGAACAATGGTTTCTATTTTCAAGAAGCTTAGAGATGAGGAGATAATGTCTAATGCGAAGAACCATAAAACAGGGTAGAAGGTACTATGCATCTTAAGAAACTTACAGTTAAAATTCTGCCAGAGTTCAGAAACAGGAATCATTATTTCAGCTGGGCTGATGAGGGCCAACTCCACAGCTAACAAGACACAGGAACCAGGATTTAAAAAGTCTGTGGGATGGGTCTTGCAGCCTCATCAAAGGACCTTCACACAGAGGCAAGTACAAGAAAAGGGGAGAGAGTGAGTCATGTTCTCAGAGGAAAAAACGATTTGATTTCTCTGGGGCAGGATGATCATGGAGGCACCTATGGAAATGTAGGCATCTGGACATTATTTGGTGGCCAACAAGGGATCATTGCTTCGCACTGCTATGACATACGCCCTGGTTTAACAAAGCAGGCGAACCTGATGTATGAGCAACAGGGCAACTTGACTGTTTGCACTTTGAGGAGCACACTTACCCACATGACCTAGATCTGGTGATCCCACACCTCAACCCCATCCACCACCACCATCTGTGCCACTTGCCCTGTTGCCTATTCTGCTGCCCCCTACACACTTAGCCCATCTGTAGCAGCTGGTGGATGTAGCACACACCGCAGCACCACCATCCCACTCGGCAGCCACCATGCTCTGCCCACAGGTCATGCAGAGTCACCATCACACTGAATATACACTTGTAGTCTAGGGATTCCCAACATCTCAACAGATGTTGGAAGCCTCTGATAAGGTGGCGGAGACCTCTGGATAAACAGGCCAGAGGTCTGTTTACGTGAGCCCCGGGCCTGTGCTAATGCAGTGAGCAGCCCCCACTTGCCCAGGTTTAGGGTCTGGGGTCCTAAACCCCGGGGCTGAGCTCAAGGCCCTTCATTTGCAGGCCCTGAAACCTTCGTATACAGCAGAGATGCCCCTGCACTGTTCAGCGGTGGGGGTGTGCCTCCAGCAACTGTTTGCACCCCCACCCCGCCTCCCTGGAGTCCAGGCACCACCCTGCCATGGTGAGAGCACAGAGCAAAGACAGCTGTCTCCAGCCCCCACGCAGCTCCTGAGAACCTCCTATGCCAAATTTTAAAAGGAAGACCACAAACAAGGCACCTCGGAACCCTACCCGCTCCCAGGGTCTGAAGCCTACTCCAGCCTGGCTATTCTGGAGCATTTGGAAAGTGACCCCTCCACTGCTGGCCTATGTCCTCAATTGTGTCCCGAAGCATCAGGGTCCAGTCATCACTCTTCCGCATTGGGGTACAGCGTGTCTCTTTCTTCTCCAGGGCTGATACCTCCGAGGGAATCTGTGGGGTCAGCCCGGCAGCCAGGACAGCTTCTGGGAACTTGGCTGCAGAGGCGGGAGCCAGGCAACACCGGGGAGGGCTGTGAGGGGCGGCACAGGTAGAAACAAGTAGGCAGGGACAGCAGATAGAAGGACAGGTACAGAAAGAAGGGGAGGAGGGAGGAGAAGAAGGAACAGGGAAGGTTAGGGGTTGTGTGGGGCATGGAGGAGAAAGAGACAGATGTTTGGTACCTTGAATTTATCTATAATGACAGCTGAGCAAACTGCTTCTTTTACTTGAAGGCCTAGCGCAACCATCACCTCTCACAGTGGCTGTCCCCGATATCTATCATGCACCTTCTTCTGGGACCGCGCTTCTCAGGGCACAGTTCCACACAGCACCCATCATACTCATTAAAGACATTTGTTCACATTCCTATCTCCCTGCTTGGGGAAGAGGAGGGCCCCTGAAAGCCAAAGGGTGCCCCGTAGTGACACAGACACTCATGGCCGTACCTGGGCTGCTGCCTGTCCATCTGCTGGTAATGGTAGCTCACGGCCACAGCTGAGTGAGGGCACAGCAGGTACTGGTTCTCTTCCCAGCAGCGGCCCATGGTCTGGGTGATGGCCTCATCTGACACCGACTCAGACGTCACTGCTGCTGAAAGCTGATGTGTCCCAGAGTCAGAGGGGTAAAGATCAGTGTTGGAGAGAAAGCAGGAGAAAGATGACCAAAAACCTACTACATAACATAGCCAGATCAATATCGGAAACTCAGATGAAATGTTCAGATTGAATGGCTTAGACTCAGCTCAGAGAAAAATCTGTTTTCCAACATTTCCCAGTTTTAAACTGATTCACTCAACTTGAGGGAAGAATGCATTTGCGTTTCAGGTTAATAAACTTAGTTAGGATTTGGCTCATGAATTAGCAAATGAGTATATAGTTTTGTTCAACAACTGCAAAAACACAGAAGGTTAAGGGCATTCAAACGTTCCTGGTGCTTTATTTCTGGTGCGCCCCTTCCCATGGGTGTGAGAACACCTTCCTTTCGGTTTCCACGCAGCTCACGTAGCACCTCCTCTAGGAAACCGCCCCACTACCCTCAGACAGAGGAAGACTCCCTTCTCGGTGTCTCCTCAGTGGAGATGGTTTATTTGATCATTCTCTGAAACTTTATTGCATGCTTATGATGTGCCAAACACTCTGCATATACTTGACTGCAACAGAGCCCATAAGGCATTATATATTGTTAATATGGCTGCCTGTCCCATCAGGGCTCACAGAAGACAATGAATGCATTTTATTTATCTTTGTATCTCCAGCACCTTGCAGGTTCTGGCAATATATGTAATGTGAATGAATGAGTGAATGAATGAATGAATGAATGAATGCTATTCCAGGAGGTGGAGTGTCTTTTACATGTACAACCAGGGGTAGAATGAAGAACTGGGGGATACTGTGTCTGTCTTCATGGACCACCTCATTTACATGAGAAAGAATGTAAATGTCAAAACAAACCATTAACCAATTAAGCTGATCTTTGGTTGTGTTATGGTCTGAATGTTTGTGTCCCCCCCAAATTCCTATGTTGAAACTGAAATGTCACGTTGGTGTTTGGTGATGGGGGCCTTTGGGAGATAATTAGGTCATGAGGAGGGAGCTCTCATGAATGAGATTAGTCTTTATAAAAAGAAGCCAGAGAGTTAGATAAACCTCCTCCTGCCATGTGAGGATATGAGAAGGCGGCCATCTGCAACTTGGCAGAATGCCCTCGCCAACCCAACCCAACCTGCTCTCAGACTTCCAGCCTCAGGAACTGTGAGAAACGAATTAGTGTTGTTTGTAAGCCACCTGGTCTATTGTACTTGTGACAGCAGTCCAAACATTAAGACAGGTTACATCAAAAGCAGTATGAACTCCAGAAGACAGAAATTCCACTCCGGTCTGTGTGGGTGGCTAAGCCCAGTCCTGGGGACAACCCTTTAAGACCACTCAGAATTACGCTGTGTGAGACAAAGCTAAAAGGACCAGGAAGGCTGACACAGATCCTCTTCAATCATGGGGCTAAGGCTGCCTGCAGCGTGCAAGCGAGGAGGGTCAGACTACAGCCCCACATGGAGAACTCTGTGATGATCAGAGATGATGCCAGGTAGTGAGGCCCTGTCCCTGGAGGATACATAGTCTGGATGACCACTTGGTGGAAATGTGGTAGAGAAAATTAAAGGTAACTTCAACGTGGCGTGTGCAATAGCTTGTTTTGTTTTGTTTTGTTTTTTACATAAAGTAAGTGACCATCACCAGGCGGCAAATAAAAGCAATCCCTGCCAACTAGATTCCAACCACTCCCAGGAGACAAAATTTCACTTCCTTAAAAACAAACAAACAAACAAACAAACAAACAACTGACAGGACAATGGTCTCTGCTCATACTGGCTGCACAAAGTGGCTTCCAGTTATTGGAAATCAATAACAATAATAAATAAAAATAATAATGGTTAATATATCAAGTCCGACACTGCCTGGCAGTATTCAAAGTGCTTCATGGGTATAATCTGACTTAAATCTTCAACAAGGCTATGAGGTAGGCATTCTTATTATCCTGATTTTACAGATGAGGAAATTGAGGCACAGAGTTTAAGAAACCAGTCAAAGGTCTCACAGCTGGCTTGAAGTTCAGCCCCGTCTGACTCTAAGCCAATATTCTCCACTGCCTCTCCTCATTCAATAAATGAATCCATATAAAGTGACTGCAAAAGTTCCAGGCTCATAGCAGATGCAAGAAAGGTGTCCCCTTCCCTTGAACAGATTTTCAAACCCCAAATTTGGTTGTATCTTGGAGCCGCACCCCTTCCTTTCTCTGGGGTGTGTGGGTGGTGACTGACCTTGCTTCGAAGTTCCTCAGGTAGACTCACACTTTGGGTCCTTTCAAACTGCTCCATGAGGGCTCTAGTCACCTGGCTGTCAGAACCAGATAATAGCCAGAATATCCTCTCCATGTTGTAGGGCACCTGGACAGAAAAGCATAATCCCAGGGGGCACTCTGTTCTCAGCCCTTATCCCTCCCCAGCTAATCAACACTTGACCAGACCTGCATGCCTTCCCACAGGCCCCACCTGAATGTCCATAGCTGATGCCAAGGTTGGTTTGACGGTCTTAGACAGAGAGAAGTCTCCTCGCTCGACAGTCCTGTGGATGATGTCGTTGTGGTTCACTGCTGCGACCAGGCGGATGGGCAGGCCCATCTTCTGAGCAAGGCACCCAGCTTAAGAGAGGAGAAGGACTAGGTTTCTCAGAAATGACACCAAAAGCACAAACAACAAAATCAAAAATAGTTAACTGGACTTCATCAAAATTAAGAAATTTTTGTGCATTTGAAGCTTTTGTGCTGCAAAAGGACACCATCAAGAAAATGGAAAGGCAATCCACAGAATAAGAAAAACTATTTGCAAATCATACATTTGATAAGAGGCTTGTATCTAGAATATATAAAGAGCTCTTACAACACAACAATAAAAATACAAATAACCCAACTTAAAAATGGGCAAAGGACTTGACAGATCTTTCCCCAAAGAAGATATACAAATGTTGAATGAACACATGAAAAGATACTCAACATCATTAGCCATCAAGAAAATAAAGACCAAAACCACAATGATGCACCACCTCATAACCACTAGGCCAGCTAGAATAAAAAAAGATAATAACATGTTTTACTCAGGATATGGATTAATTGGAATTCTCATACATTGTTGGTGGGAACGTAAAATAGTGCAGTCGCCTTGGAAAATAATCTGTAAGTTCTTCAAAAAGTTAAGCAGAGTTACCATTTGACTCACAAATTCACTCCTAGATATATATACTCAAGATAAAAACAGGTTCACGCAAAAACTCATACACAAATGTTCATAGCAGCATTATTCATAATAGCTAAAAAATTGAAACAATATAAATGTTCTATTAACTGATAAGTGGATAAATAAAGTGTGAACTATCCATACAATGGAATATTATTTAGACATAAAAAGGAATGAAGTATCGATATGTTAAAAACATTATACAAAGTGAAAAAAGCTAGACACAGAAGGCAACATATTGTAATGATTCCATTTATATAAAATGTCCAGAATAGGCAAATTTATAGAGACAAAATAGATTAACAGTTGCCTAGAACTGAGGGAAAAATGACGAGAAATAGGGAGTGACTGCTAATGGGAACAGGGTTTCCTTTTAGGGTGATGAAACTGTTCTAAAATGGATTGTGGTAATTGTACAAATCTTTGAATATTCTAACAACTATTGAACTGTGATGAGTTGTAAAGCATGTGAATCATGTAGTAATAAAACTGTTACCAAAAAGAAGGAAAAAGGAGGAGGAGAATGCTATGTGCCCAGATACCGTTCTCCATGCTGCCCGCACCCCAAACCATCACCAGGTACTGACACGCATGCTCGCTATCATTTGCAGAAGAGAAAATGAAGGTTCTGGGAAGTTGAAATGATCCGCCCAAAGCCTATGAAGTGGTAGAGTAAGGGTACAAACTAGGTCTGTGTAGGTCCAGAGCACATGCTCTTGTCCCTTGACTCAGGCTCCTTCAACCAGCGTCTTCAGGCCACATCTCCTGGAGAGGCACACTTCATCCACCTTAACAGCGATTCCTGTTTGCGTGGAACAAACCAGGAATTCCTCACTCTGGGAGATGGAGAGCCCGAAAAGGTTACGTCGTTTAGGATGTTTTTACATACTTCCATGAATGGTTTATCTCTGGTGCATCGTTAAGAGGAGTTAGGGATAAGCACACCACCCCAAAATCACTCTTAATTTTGCAAAGCACTCTCATGGTTTTTTTTTTTTTTTCATTTGATCCTCATGAAAATATCATGATATCCATCTATGAAAGAGGAGAAACGGAGGCTCAGAGGGTCCAGGTTGTTATTCATTTTACCCTTCACTGATCGAGCAGGAAGAGACAGGAGAACCCTCTGCTAATGTTTATTTTGTGCCAGGCACTGTGGCAGCCACTGGGGCTGTGTGGATTGCATGACTCTGGATGGCGCCATTCACTGGAAAATGATATGAATTGGTAGCTTGGTGAGTCACCCCAGGGATGAAAAAAGTTGAGTATCCTCGCCCAACTGCCAGATCATTGTTCTTTCCATCTCTGTGTTAGTGGAAGAAGTCAGGCAGACTCCTGACCACTAAATGCTTTCATGGTCTCACCTAAGCCATCTCGGCATACACCGACAGAACCATCAGAAACAGCAGTGCCCATCAGGAGGCAGCCTAGCAAGCTGGCGAGGACGCAGGCTCTGGATCAGCCTGCCTGGGCTGTGATTCTGGCTCTGCTACTGACCAGTATGTAACCAGAGGCAAGCCGATTAACTTCTCCGTGCCTCAGTTTCCTCATTACAAAATAGAAAGCACAGTATTATTCTTCTCATAGTCACTTGTGAGGATTAAATGAATTAATACATGAAAAGCACTTAGAGCAATGCACGATGTATAGTAAGTGCTTCATTAATGTTAATTATTATTATAGAAAATGACTTTAAGGTCATGCAGCTGTACAAAGGTCATATATAAACATAAAGAATCTTATCTGTGCCTCACAGCAGCCCTGAGAGATATAATAAATGATGTAACCCCTCTTTTATACCTGAGGAGCTACGTCTAAGGGTCTGTCCCACAGACTTCTGCTGGTTAAGGACAGAACTAGGGCCAGAACCCTAAGTCCAGAACTCTTTTTCACTTCACATGTCTCTGGGTGTGGGAACACGTCGTGCCAGCTGAGTCACTTGCCCTCATAGCAGGCAGCTGGCTGCAGCTGGCGGTAAAGTCCATATTTCTGGAAGAGGGCATTGGCAGCTGGGCACAGTGGCTGAACCTTGATCTATCTCTCCAGACTCTGCCAAGCTAGGGCATCAGGTCAGGTGGCCTGAGCATGTCGGGGTTAACCCATCATGCCCTACTGCAGCAAGAGGCCACACCTCCCCTCAGGGAGTTAAGGGAAAGTTTTCTGGGAGTTTCTTCTGTCTAGTTTCCCATCACTTCAGAGCTATGCGATTGCAGGCAAAGGGCAGCTGGAAGGATTGGGGCCACAGATGTTTCTCTGGAAAGCCCATTTCCACTCAGGGGTCTCCTTACCTGCAAGGTTACCAGCAGCCCCCGTTGGCACAACCACCTCCACAGGGGGCAGTGGGTCCATATCTAAGGATGGAACACACCGGAAATAAGCAAAGAAGTGGTGGGCCATTTGCACGAGGATCCGAGACCAGTTGATTGAATTCAGACTCATCAGATTGTGCTTCTTGACAAAAGCCACATCCGCAAACACGGCCTTGATTGGCTCATCGAGCTCATCGCTGTTTCCCTCCACTGTCATGCGAGAGAGGGGAGGGCAGGTATCAGGAGCACGAAGAACCCCAGGTAGTCAGCAACTGCCCACAACTGCCTACCAAGAACCCCAGGTAGTCAGCAACTGCCCATCCAGCTGGGACTTTCACTGAGCTTTGCTTTCTTTACTCTGCTATGTCTTGGCCTGGCTTTCCAGGCTTAAAATTAAGCTCCTCAAGGATAGAAAACGTTTCTCACATTCTTGTAATATTTCCAATATTGCTACTCTCATATAAAATAAGATATAAAATGTCGACCTTCTGGGATACTGCAAAAAGAATTCCTCTTTGTATTCCATGCCCACCTCCCCCACTCTCTGGAAAGGAGGAGGAATGGCTTATCAGGTGGTGGGGTGGTAAGAGGCTGATCCTTTACGCCACAGTCCTCTATCAGGAGTTATGAGAGAAGTGTCACTGTTTCCATGTGCTCTGCCCTTCTTCTCTCATTTAAATACCAAGGGTGGGTGTTCTGCTCTCTGCTCCACATGGTAGGTAAGATGACATGGGAGGACTCCTTCCTGGGCTGGGTATGTACACAGTTTAATTTACGGATAAATTATTGGGTAAATTTATGGGTAAATTGGCTACTAGTTGCATTTTCCAACCCAGCTCAACCAGCAATCAAACCAATACTGATCGCTAATTTGAAACCTGAGTCTATTTCTCCATCGGAGCCTAACCTGGAGGAGAGCAGGGGAAGATTTACTGGGAGAAGTGCCAGAACATACACTGAGGTTGTTATTCATTCTGCCCTTCACCACTGTGCAACAGCAATGAGGCCAGGGGCTGACTCCAGAGCTATGCACGAGGGGCATGTTTGCCAGGGTTCCAGGAAAGACTCACTGCTTTTAAGAGAGCCATAGGAAGACAGAGGCGTGGTTACTCCAAGTAACTATCAAAGGCCACCAGAGGAATGAGCCTTAGGACTGGGGAAGGCAGAACAGAGAATGCGAAGAACCTGGGTCCCTCAGGGTACTGCTGAGTCACACGGAATCAATCATCAGGAGCCCACCCCACCTCTGGACTTCCAGTTATATCAGCTGGAAAATATTCTTGTTCAAGCTGGTCTGAGTTGGATTTTTTGTCACTTCCAGGCAAAAACATCCCAAATAATATGTAACCGGCACATGCTGATTATTCTGTGCTTAAGAAGAACCAACTGTACTATATGGAAATTGATGACTTATAAAACAGTGTCTAACACATAACAGTCCAGGTGACCCACTCCTACTCCCTGAGCTCAGCAGTCTAACAGAACATATGTAGTCCTGAACTAACACATATCCTCCTGGAAACCAAGTCAGAAGATTCTAGAAAGGAAAGGAAGAACTAGAAAAGTGATGTTTAGAAATAAAAACTAATTTATTTAAAGTATGCTGCCTTATTTTCTTAAAGCTCGGGACATGTACAAACAGAAATGCCCCTTTGGCTCCAGCAGAAACACATTAATGCACTCATTAATGAAATGCTCTCATCACCATCCACTTTTCTGCCACTATTTTGTAAATGGTGGTCTCCAACTTGCGGTCGAGAATGGAGCCCCCATGCACACTCTCAGGTAAAAGCCTTCCAATATCTGTGTACAAAGTGAGAAGGGAATAGGTGGAAGGACAGAGGCACAAAAAGCTATTTGTTGCTTTGATTCTAGGCAAAGATAGTCCTAGATCTACAACTAGTAATTTGGGTACTAGGAGTATAACAGGGACCCTCAGGAACCTGAATCTTGTACATTAAAATCTTGCAATGACTATAGGAAAATGCAGCCAAATATGGGTAAGTATCAAGACTAATGTGTAAGATTTTGCCAACACCTGCATTAGCTAAAGCATGAACTTCTCACTGAAATGTGTATGCGCTTTTTAGAGAAAAGAACACGGGGGCTTTGGGCTTCCTCCTGAACAAACAGACAAAGCATATTCATGCTACTCCCAGGGGCAAGGTTTGTTTTCACTGTGTTTTTGCTCCTTGACAAAATCGGTGTTATATAAAAATATTTTCTATGGGATTATACCAGAAGGCCAGGCCAGCTGTAGAAGAAATGGCTTTGGCCACCACATTCGCTGTCTTGCCAGATAAGTGAGGAAACCAAGCCAGGATACCTGGACAGCTCACCCAAGGCCACATATTCAAAACCTCACCAAGACCCTTACCTTGGGGTTACCTCAAGTCTTATGGAATATGAGAGGTAGAAATAAAAATATATGACTCCACTCAGACTCACCCCCTCTTTTTCCACTCTTGATCTCCATAATGATTAAATCCATTCAGAATAGATGGCCTGGAGATGGTTTTCTGCCTTTCCCAAAATGCTACGATTCGTAATGTGGCTCAAGGAAGGGTGATGAGTGCCATCAATGATGAGTGCCACCGAGTAGCTTCCTACTTTAAATACTCAGACATGCTAACCATGTGCACGGCTTAATCATTACTATACTGTAAGAGGGCATAAGTTGTCAACATGTAATGAAACATTCTTTTAAAATAATTATTTAACATGTTGTGCCATCAAAACTTCAGTGGCCTTGGAAAAAAACCCAAGTCACTCCAAAACAAACAAACGAACAAACAAACAACAACAACAACAAAACCCAAGTCACTCCACTTAGGCTACAGCTCTGGGTTGCTGCCTATATACATGGCATCAGCAAGATGAACCTGCACGGAAGTGGCGTTCTTTGGGATATATTCTTAAAACCGCACTTCCTGGGTTGTGTTGTTAGTATTGGTTTATGCATCTGTCACCTCTAATAGTTTATGAGACTGTGTAGCCAAGAGCCTGCCTGAAGTTCAGCCAAGACGTATTACCAAGCTCAAAATAAGACTGTTTGAGGATGGGAGGAAAGGAGAAAAAGGGGGAAGGATGGTCAGCTAGTAAATGAACCAGTTTCGTTCTAGCCCACCTCTTTAAGTAAAGCCACGGTGTCCCTGGAGCCTTGTCCCAGCACTCACCTCCAAACACACGGACGTTCTCCTTCAGCACCGTTGTCATCTGGAGCTCCTGAATCTTCGTGCAGTGACCCTTGGGCAGCAGAACGATGATGTCCACATTCTTTGCCCCTTGAACACTCTCAATGGCAGCACTCCCTGTGTCCCCTGAAGTTCCTGGATGGGAAGAAAAAAGAACTCTCCCCTTTAGAATGAAGGAGATGAAAAAGGAAAGAAATGGCCCCTAAAGCATTGTTGCCAAATGAGGCAGTATCTATCAGCAAATACCTGGAGAGTAGGAACCTAGCACTTAATCTGGGGCCCATGAACCTCCAAGAGATCTACGGATAGAATTCAGGGCATCTGTGAGCTTGGTACCACATGATCTTATGTATGTTATATTTTTAAAAATATTAATCTGAGAAGGTACCATAGCCTCGCCTATGCCATGAGAAACAGTTAAGAACCCTGCTCTAGAAGAACCAGTAATACACTTCGAGAGACATTAGCGGAGGATGGCCTGGGGGTGGATACTGGCAAGTTGGGGCACTACAGGGCCCTAGAGCTCAAGTCCACAATGCGTACCCACAACCACAGTGATGTGCTTCTCCCTTTTCTCCAGGAAGTACTGCAGGAACTGTGCTGTGCAGCACAGGGACAGATCCTTAAACGCATACGTGATCCCATGCCACAGCTCCAACACGTTCAGCCCGTTCTTCAGCCTGGACAGATGGACCACCTCTCTATGGCGGAATCTGCGGAAGGCTTGGTAGATCAGATCTGCAAAGACAGTGAGTGACGGGCATTATTGTGCCTTCCCTCAAATTTTTGAATTTGAAGTTTTTATCTCCACTACAGGATAAAAAGACCAGAAATGTTTATCCTAAAGGATACCATGCATGAATATAATTGTATAATCTGGAAAAAGTCTGGAAAGACATGCACCAGCCTGTTCGTGAAGTCTTCATGGTGATTCCCACCCACACGCAGCAGATATGGCGCTGTAAGACTTTTACTTTTTATTTCATAAACATCATCATAATTAGGATTTCTAGTGAACATGTATTCCCATAGAAGATTCAATTAAAGTTATGTGGCAAACAAGTCAATGTCTCATGTCTTCTAAGTTTGATTCCTAAAGACAGGACACTTTTGTTTATTTGTTACATTACTAAATCTCAAACCTGTGATGCCAGAACCGTGGGAGGGCTTAGACACATACCTACCTGAATCAGAGTCTGGAATGGCTCTTCTCAAACTTTAACTGGCAAACCAATCACCTGGGATCTTAAAAGGCAAACTCTGATTCAGTTGGTCTGAGGAAATCCGAGAATTGTAATAAGTGCCCAGGCAATGCCATCAGTGCTAGTCATCAGACCACATTTTGAGAGATCTTCTTCTCCTCCCCATCCTCAAACTGTCACTGTTATGTTCTGGATATCATATATTTGGTCCATGGACCAGCAGCACTCGTATCATCTGGACACATGATAGGAAAGCAAACTTCTCAGGCTCACTCCAGACTTAGCGAATCAGAATCCACATTTTAATAAGATCCCGTCAGGAGAATCCATATGCACATTACAGTTTGAGGTGAGCTGGTCCAGGACACTCTCAAAATTCCGTTCGGGAAGTACTATGCTGGAAGGAAAAGTCCTAACATTCAAGTTGCTAGTCTTGAAAAGATGTTTTAAAAATAAACTAAAGGTAAATAATTCTCTGCAAATCATTTTGGCTGGTGGTGGGAACTGGACGAGATGAACTTTTGGGGGATATTTCCAGTTCTGGAATTCCAGAGTCTGGAAAAAACACTAAATTTGGGGAAATGTGACTAAAGATCTCCTAGGGACAGAGTGATGGATTTGCAACTCTGTGGGGGCTAAGCTGTCAGGGGAGGGAAAGTGGAAGTGAGGCAGTGGTGCTCACCGTTTAAGTCATCTCTTGGAATGAGCTCAGGGCCAATGAAGAGGGCACACAGCTCCTTCACCAGGCTTGGGTAGGAGAGTGCACTCCACTGACGCAGCGTCTCTCTGCCCAGTGGTGGGAGCTCCTCGGGCATGAAGAGGCCTCCATCAGGAGCATAGCCAGAGAAGAGGGCCCCCTCAAAGTCGACCCGCGGAGCCATCCCCCGGGTGCTGATGTACCACATGGTCCTGGAGGCCTGCAGAGGTGACAGTCCCAGAGGCACATAGTCTCTTTCTCCAGCATCCTATGGGCAAAGCTGATGTCCACACAGCCCTCCTCAGTTAGCTCTTGGATCACCACTCATTGGGGTAAGTGTCCTAGCCCAGAATACTGGGGTCCTGCCTCAAGTCTCATGCCAACGTCATCTGAGACTATACAAATCATGACCCCTCCAATCAGAATGAGGCAATTCCACTGACATATGACCTTGGGAAGGGGGGTACCAGAGCTTGCCAGGAAAGAAGATAGCTTGGTCCTCACCGGTGAGGAAGAGGCCTTGGGGTAGGGATAGACAATAGCAATGATCATAACTGCCATTTCGATATTCCTCTTAACAAGGAGAGGACCACCACACTTGGTCATATACCTTTTTGAAAGATGTTTCTACCCACTTCTGCTCAAAAATAACTACCTTCAATGGTCGTTTAGCCGTGTTGCCTATAACCTAGTGGTTCTCAACTTTAGTAGTTTGCTGGAATCAGCTTAGGAGCTTTAAAAAATACTTCTCCTTAGGAGCCTACCTGGGTCAATTAAATCAGAATCTTTAAATGAGAGGCTCCTCATGGGCATCTAATGTACAGCCAGGGTTAAGAATAGGGTAGCTAACTCATCCCAGTTTGCCCAAAACTTTCCTCCTTTTAAAACTGAAAGTCCTATATCCCAGGTCACCCCTCAGTCCTGGGCAAACTAGGACAGTTGGTCGTCCTAGCTGAAAATCAGTGCCCTACCTCTCAACCTAACCCTAGAAGAGTAGTTGGAAGTGCTGACATGCTGCCCTTAAAACCCTTTAGCCATGACTGATTGGCCCTGGGTGGACTCAGAGCTCTCTCACTGGGGTGAGGGTGGGAGTGTCCAAGGGCACCTCAGGCCTCGCTTTGGTTACACTGCCACATCAGTTGGGTTCCCCAGAGCCAGATGCCATGTAAAGCAGCTGAGTTTGAGCTCTTGACATCTTTTTCTGTCATGGCTGTAAATTTGGGAGCTCTGATTTTAAAGCCCCACAGCACCTCTGGGGGTAAATTTGACCAGACATATGGTAGCTCTCAGTACCAGCTTGGACTCATTTCTGCACCAGGGTCAGAGGGGAATCCCTGCCCTCTGAGGGCAAAGCCACCTGAAGCTGCACAGCTATAACAAAGGGTATGAGCTAGAGGAATTCTGGTTTCCTAGACTGAACCTGACACCTCTGAGCCCTGTGCGAGACCCACATGGGCTGCCATGTGCCACCCCACCACCTACAAATACAAAGCATCCAACTTAGAGACAGAGACAAGTTTAACCATTCAAATCATGAACCTTTTGAAAGTGAAAGTGGAGAGTATTAATATTTATGCTGGGCAATGGGTATAAGCTAGAACAGTCTTGAGCAAACTGGGACACATATGATACAGGGGTATGACTTCACTTCAAGGAAATGAAATCAGGGAAACTCTTAAGGCCAACTGAGGCAGGGAAGCAAAGCCAGCCCACCGTTTCACAAAACAGAACCAGGGTAGGGGTCTGAGGGCTAGCAGTACCTTCAGTAAGGAGAGGAATTTCTGTAACTCTGTGGCAAGGGTTAGAGCCAATGCAAACTGCCCCAGACCCTGGAGTAATAAGAGGGGGACCAAGCCTGGCCTCTTCATAGGACCAGATTAAAGGAAAGGAAGCAATTGAGCTGTCAGAGAAGCTGCCGCAGGCAGAGGGAAGGGTGGGGACAGGCAGGGCTGTAAGGACAACAAAAGAAAACATCTGCAGAATGCCCAGGGTTGGACTACATCACCCTTGGGGCACTAGGCTCTGTCCTGGGCTCTGTGTTTGATGAAGGACGTGGACAAAGTAGCCCAGGAACAAAGGAGAGGGCCTGACACCAGGCTCTACACATGTCATTGTAAGGACATGGGCTGAGTAGCACACAGGTGACCCCAAGGGGGAGCATTCTCAGGCCAAAAGGGCAAAGTTACAGAGAAGACAAATCGTTGGGTTCAATGTAAGATAAAACAAAGAGAGAAGCCCAGAAGTAGGAGTAGCTGCCACAGGAGGTGGTGAAGTTGAATATCAAGCACTTTTGTAGGACCATTGTATGGGCACTCCAAGCGCCTGAGGAGACTGGACTAAATGACCTCTGAAATATAAGATTTTATATTGTGGCTCTTCTGCATCCCATTCCAGAGTAGAGATGGGTTAGAAAAACTGACTGATAACCTGTATGCATAACAAGAGAAATAGGAGAGCATCCTAAGGCCAGGGACAGTGTCAGAAAGGGCTTGTGTGGCTCCTTGGAGAGGAGGGGAGATTTTTCTGAGAAGGGGTGGGGCAGAGACTTGGATCTCAACAGCTGAACCCCTGGTGACTGTGCGCTGATCACAGACTGCACCCATCAGGGGCGGAGGCCCCTGGCAGGACCCAGGCAGGCAGCTGCCTCTCTAGGGTCACTGGGCCAAGAAAGTTCTAAAAAGGTCTGCAAGATATGGCTCCATTCTCTGCTTCTGAAAACACCCCAGACTTCTCAGTTTTCCTACAAGTCGCAGATTCTGAACAAGAGGTTAGTCATAGAAAGGGACGGGAGCCGACACAGCCACAGTGAAGTCAAGGCAGAAGGAAATCTCGAGAAGTTTAAGAGCTCAGAAGTATCAATTAACCGACTGCCCCGGGGAGGCCGCAATGATCTGCAGGGAGGGGACGCGAGGAGGGGAGCGTGGGCGCGAGAGGACAAGCCCGCTGGGCTGCCCGCTGGCTTGCATCGGTCTCCAGGGCGAGCAAGCGAGCGGCGGATCCCCAGCCCCGCCGGGATCGGATCGGCTGACCTGGCGCGCAGCGGAGGGCTGCCCAGGCCCGGGCGCAGTTACCGGGTCCGGGGCGCCGGCGGCTGCGGGGGCGCTGCCCAGCTCCGGACATGGGATCCGGACCCGGAGGCAGTGTCAGGCTTCCGGGGGAAGGACAAGAAGGGCGGGGGAGGGAGGGCGAGGGCAGAAGAAAGCGGCGGGGGAGAGGAGGAGGAGGGAGCAAAAGGTACTGATATTTCTCACTTGGCATGTTTATAAGGCACTTTGCTAAGCGCTTTATTCTGTTTCTTAATCTTCATTGCAGCCTTGGAAGTACCACATAAACTCATTCTTCAGATTAGAAATCTGAGGGCAAAGTAGAAGGAAGAAAGTCCCTTATCTTCTTTGGGTTCATCCTCTAACCTGCAGACGCCTGATAAACTACTTCTTTCTCAATGTGGGGCTGTAGGAACTCAGGAAACACAGGGATACATAATATCATTTCAGCTCAAAAACTCTTTGTAGGAAAACCCTTTTTATTAAGCTTAGATCTGTTCCAGGGTAAAATACCTCCCCAATTTAAAGAAAAAAAAGTCAACATGTTACCGTTTCTGGGGAGTCCCGGAACTTCAAGACCTCGGTTCTCGGCGTCCAGGGAACAAAGCATTGAAGGCAGACGCCCAAAATTTGATTGTATGCAAGCTCGCTTTATTAAAAGCAAAAGTGCACTTTTAGAAGGAAGACTAGGCAGCCAGGAGCGGTCAGCCGTGAAGACAAAGTAAGCTCACTCTCAAAAGGGAGAGCAGGCTGCCAAAAGTGGTCAGCCCCAAAGACTTCTGCCAAGTGAAAGCACACCCACAGATGAGAGAGCCGGCAGGCTCAAGGGAGAGCTGCTGCCTCCTTCTGTTGCTAGTTTGGGGATTTTATTTATTAACCTAAGGGTGGAATATTCATGATTTTGGATGGTCACTTTGTGGAAAAGAGGTGGTTTTTCTCTAGAATTAAGGAGACAACCTTTTTCTTACCGTGTTCGGGCTTTTTGGAAATATCATGGTGTCAGATGCATGATGGGTACAGCCTTAACTGCAATGCTAATTTATTATAATGATCGTATAATGAAGCAAAGGTGAATTCTAGGTCACACTAGGTGTCTTTTTGTGCATGTCTGTTGGGGACTTTTCCTATCCCCTTTATTTCACACTTTTAGCAGGAAGTTTTAAACTACAAAACTGCTCCACTACAGCTAAGCTACTGTTCAAGGCTGTTTTTTATTTTAGTGGCTCTGGGGTTGGGGTCCTGATGTAATTCCTACCTCAAACACACCTTAAAAATGTCCTACATATATGCCAGATATGCCCAATGCCCCTGGGTTCACATTCATGCTCCTGGGTCCCGACTCACTTAGGTGGCAAAGTTCGAGGAGCTGGGCAGGACAGATGCCCACTAAGTTTTAGTCTGTGCATCTGGGCTGGGCCTGGTCACACATGGCAGGCCCAGTTGGGCCTCATAGAAGGGTGGGCATAGATAGTTATCCTCTGGTCTTGCTGGTTCTTCTCCTTTCTTCCTTCTGTTTATGACATTCTCCTAAATCTGTGGTCTCTGCTTACTCAAGTTACCTGCTGTCCAAATTTTGGCCTGCACATGGTGCCCATTTGACATATCCACATGAGTCCATGCACCTGCCAGTCTGGGTAGGTCTCAGCTTCCAGAAAGAGAAAGTCTGGCTGGTCACTGCTCAGCTAACAGATTGTAGTCATGGAATATACACAGAGGGCAGTGGGGCAGTTTCCAGAGAGGGATAAAGACCAGCCAGGGACCCCCTAAAAGGTTTCCATCCCCTGTATCAGATGTACTTAATCACTCAAAGACCAGGGAAACTGAGACCCCTGGCAAAAAAAAAAAAAAAAAAAAAAAAAGCCATAATACAGAGCAAAATTTTTTACAAAACTCATAACCATCCAGGGTGGAGTCTCAAAAACCATTGCAAGAATAAAAGCATCTTCCGCAGAGCTCTCCCGCTAGGCCCCTTGATAGACTCACGGAGACCTGCAGGACATATTCGTGATTTTGTGAGCAGAGGGGAGGCCAGAAGCTCTTCTGTCAATTGTGCTCTGACTCCCTAGGAAAGGAGAAAAGCAAAGGCTCAGGGAACAAGAGGTTTAATGCACTAACAATTCCTGCCTGGGACATTCAAAACAGCACAGCTACGCAAAATAAAAACTGCCACGTGGCCCATGCAGAAGACAATTCTGAATACCAAGCAGGAACAAGTGGGAATGTGAAGTTCTCTGACACTTCTACATGGATCAATGTTTAGTTTTTATAAAATTAAAAAGCTTTTATCTATTTATTTTGCTTTTTGCCCTTATGGATTAGAGTGCTTAGCTGTGGCTTTGAAGCCAACAATCTTCAAAGCAGAGAGCCCTTGGATCCTCACAGTGCTGTTTCTTTCAGATCCTGCAGAGCCGTCTTGAGGGAGGCTTCTAAAAGACTGTGTACACAGAGGATTTACGGGGTCTTCATGCACTGGGATGTCGGAGTTAGGGACCAGAGCCCTATCTAAGGATTCAAGAGCATATACAGCCTGTACTGCTGGAGAAGAAAGTGACCTGCCAGAAGCCTTCCAGCCATTTGTGCAGGGCACAGGCCAGAACTCAGGCTTTTCCTAGAGCCCAGGCTGGCAAGAACAGTAAGGCAAAGGGGAGAAATGATATTTAGAATCAGGTCATAGTTGGTCTGTCTGAACATTTTTGACCTTCTAAATCAACCACCCATTATTTCACTTATTATGCATGGTAGTTGTTGAGGAGATGGGGTAATAGTTAAGCTCAGGTACTCTGAATCACCCTCAGATCACTCTGACTGCCTGAATGTGTAACTGAGGGTTCCAAATAAATAGTCTCAAATTATCAAGCAAAAATTGGCATAATTCTACTAACTTTTTTTTTTTTACAGAAATAGACAAGTTGATCCTAAAATTTACATAGAAATGCAAGGGACTCAATAGCCAAAGCAGTCTTGAAAAAGAAGAACAAATTTGGAAGATTTACACTTCCTGAGTTTAAGACCTAGTACAAAGGCATTATAATCAAGACGGTACTGGCATAAGACTGGACATAAAGGTCAATGAAATAGAATTGAGAGTCCAGAAATAAACCCATATACATATAGTCAACTGATTTTTAACATGAGTGCCAAAAGCATTCAATGGGGAAAGAAAAGGCTTTCAACAAATGATGATGGGACAACTGGATATCCACATGCATGAGTGAATTTGGATCCCTACCTCACACCACATGCAAAAATTACCTCAAAATGAATCAAAGACCTAAATGTAAGAACTAAAAGTATAAAACCCTTGAAGAAAATATAGATGTAAATCTTCATGACCTTGGATAGGCAACAGTTTTTAAATATGACATCAAAATCACATGTAACAAAAGAAAAACGAGACAAATCAGACTTCATAAAAATTAAAAACTTTTGTACATCAAGGTACACTATTAAGAAAGTAAATAGACAACATCAAGAATGGGAAAAATATTTGCAAATCATATATCTGATAAGATTCATGTATCCACAATATATAAAAACTCTTACAACTCAATAATAAAAAGACGACCTAATTTAAAAATGGACAAAGGATTTAAATAGATATTTTCCCAAAGAAGATACACAAATGGGTAATAAGTGCATAAAAAGAGGCTCAACATCATTAGTCATTAGGGAAATACATATAAAAACCACAATGAAATACCCCTTCACAACCACTAGGATGGCTAGAATCAAAAAGACAGATAACAAATATTGATGATGATGTAAAGGGAACCTTCATACACATACTGGGACTTGTTGCTGGTGGGAATGTAAACTGGTGCAGCTACTTTGGAAAACAATTTGCCAGTTACTCAAATGTTAAACAGAATTACCAGACGACTCAGCAATTTCATTTCTAATACATACCCAAAATAACTGAAAACATCTTCATGTAAAATCTTGTATACAAATGACTATCGTATTCATAATAGTCAGAAAATGGAAACAACCCAAATGTCCATCAACTGATGAATGGATAAACAAAATGTGCTATAGTCATACAACGGAATATTGTTCAGCCATAAAAGGAATGCTGGAGCATGGGTGAACATACTATGACACAGATGAATCTTGAAAACATCATGCTAAGTGAAAGAAGCCAGACGCAAAACTCCACATATCGTATTATTCTACTTATATGAAATATCCAGAATAGGCAAATCCGTAGAGGCAGAAAGTAGATTAGTATTTGCAAGGAGCTGGGTGAAATAAGAAGAAACAGGGTTTCTTTGGGGGATAATTAAAATGTTCTGGAATTTAGAACATTTAATGGTGATGGTGGCACAAATTTGTAATATACTAAAAATATTGAACTGTACGCTTTAAAGTGTCAGTTTTATGCTGTGTGAATTATAATAAAGAAAATTACAAAAAAAAATGTAACAACTGATGGCTAGGAGACAGGGCACATTATCAAACAGCTGCCCAGACAGGAAAGCTTTGAAGGCCTTAAGGAACAGACTAAGCTGTGAAAAGGGGCATGCTGCTCCCACTGCGAGTACAAAACTACCAGATAATGGTTTTGATTCAGACATGATCTAATGCACCAGTAAACAACTTTAGAAATCATTTACAAAAACTCAGAAAAGAACAACCAAACCTCTTCCATTGCTGGTAGCTTCT